TTTTCATTAAAGCCTTCTACATTGTGTTCTCTATTTTTTAGAGGATCATCCTTGAAGTACAGGAGGGTCAGTGTGTTGTAGGTATCATACGTTAATGCAATAATTCTTAAGACCACTTAAGCATCTGACCACCAAGAATAGACACCTCTTTTGTTTGTACTTCAATCATTAACAGCAGGTCAGCCACCAAATAAATCATAAGAACAGGGATGTCAACAGCAGTCTCAAAATAGACTACCTAAATACATGATCCAAATGCTCAAACCGTTGAAAAAATAGAAATAATGGCAGTGCAAGAACGCAGGGGCACTGTGCCTTAAATTGTTTAACGACACATTCCCCTGTGAGTTGCTAATATATGGACACATTGACTTAGATTAAAAATGGCTTTTTGCTATTTTTATTTTATTTTTGACTTTCATAGACTTGTTATCCCGATCTTTAGCATTCCATGGTAGTACGGTATACATAAATATAACATATGATCAATTCTACATATTTGAATACTTTGTTCATATTTTGAACCATCCATGTCATACCATTTAGTACGGTATACCTAAATATAACATATGGTCAATTCTACATCTTTGAATACTTTGTTCATATTTTGCCTAAATGTCTGGATTTTACAGTTGCAAAAACCCCGACCATAAATATACCTTGTTATTTTGACCTTTTTATAGTTGGCCATGTAGTTTAAGTTCCATGGAAAACTTTCTGAATATATAGACTTTGGCTGGACAGGGCATTAAATTGAAAGTCTATGGATAATGCCAGATTCCATGGTTCCTTCTGAAATTCTGCATTCCCAGGAAATTTCAATCTGAAACCCCTGCCCAAGGGATTGGCAAGCTGCAATACAGGGAAACCTTCCAACTGACAAAAGTGGTTTCTGAAACACTTCAGATATTCTAACCTGCCAATGTTATGGAAGAGACCAATAGCTGATACTTGCAAGAACAGTTAGAAAAGGTCGTTCATTTTCTAAATAACATTTTCCAGTTGAAAGTGTAAGGATGACAAAGCAATGACATCTGTGATATAGCAACAGGTCTTCTGACTCATTAAAGACACCAGAAACTGTTTCCTAGCAAATACTATCCTATTGATGAAGCACAATTTACACTAACCCATACTGAGATTTATAATGAAGATGTTTTTATCATAATAGCAAGAACAATGCTCCTGAATCTGTTTTGAAGGAATATGATCATTCTTCACCATGGTTAGCCAGGATACATTTCTACCAACAAAAAAATCTTGTATTGTAATTCTTGGACTTTGAATCAGAGCAAACTTCTCAATGTTATTTTTACATAATAAGGAAAAGAATCATGCAATGCCTTGGTGTCTGTACGAAATCAAATTAAACAACATGTCTTTTTAACCGTTTAGTTGATAAAACATTGAATGGCTTAACTCACAAAATACTCTAAAAATAAACTCCCTCTTGTGCTTGTGAGATATCTTTATCTTTAACAGAATCAGTCTAGAGGTTAAAAACATATCTTCTAATTTCATTTTGGTATCTTTTTTCTCATTAAATGTTTTATAGTGCACAGTAGAAGAGGTTTGATGAAGAATTACAATGCATCTTGTCATCCATGACAGCTACTTAGGAGTAATTTGTTTTCCAAATGTGGCCAGAAAACTCTCTTTCAGCAGCATGTTTGTTGGAAAACATGGAGACCTGATTTCTATTCAAGGAGTAATGATGCAATGAGAAAGCTATTGCTGTTCAGTGGAAACAGTACCAAAGCTAGAAAAAAATGGGATTTACAGCCCCTGCAGATACACAGGTGCAGAGATAGACACTCCCACAATTTGTGATTAATTGCATGAAAAACATGACTTATCCAAGCGTGTACTGACAGAAACTTTCTATGGAGGCTTGTTTGTTTAAAACCTATCAATAATTTAAACCATTCAGGATGGTATAAGGGTGAGCAGAAATCCCTCTATTTGACACAGATGTGCATCCTTTCCTATACAACAGTCAAATGCAGGGGTGACCATTTGGAAACCATTATGTGTTATCATGGAACCATTACAGCATTAAATCGGTTAAAAGTCATCCAGAAGGATGTACAAGAGCAAACAAACGTGCTGTTTCAAACTACCTTTAGGAATGCGCGTGAAATATGCTAACCAGATGCATACAATAAATGAATGGAAAAATGTATAATAAAGCAGATGGACTGCAAATTATTTCAATCACACACTTAGCATTGAATAGAACACAACTTGTAGTTTTCCATTATAATTGTCATAAGAGTCTTGCCAGCCCTTTGTATGATTGGTGTTCAGTAATTGATAGAAAATAAATTGCATCTCAATAAGAGGTAATGAAAGTTCCAGTGTACTTTATCACACCAATGAATCTCTTTCAAGAGTGTATCCTTCAAACGGTGAGGGAAATTGAGGTTTTTATGCATTTTTTAAAAAGGAATATAAACATATAATTTTTGCATATACACATTGTACACAATTACTGAAAACTGCACAACACATCATAAAATACAGGTAATGAAACATAATCAGTAAATTTATAATCTGGGAAGAAAATTAAATAATGACTTGTGTATTTAACAGAAATATACAGGGAAGAAAAAATGTTTAGCTTATCATTATTAAGATTTAAGAGGTGTGTTCCTTAAAAAAATTGCTTTGATTTCACAAACCTTATCTTAAATACATGACACAATGATTGTAGGGACAATAGAATTCACATGGCTTATATAAGAAATATATTGCTTATTTTGTTAGTGACTTTATTAGCATTCAGCGGGTTTTCCAATACTTGATGTTTTTATGGAAATATGTGAGGAGAATTTAATGGTAATTTAGGAAATCATTAGAGATTCCTAGATAACTTTTTCATTGCAAATAAATGATTTTCTTAAACATAGTACGCATTTGCTCTGGGTATCGTGGATTGTATATACAAAAAATAAATTCTTACATTTGAATTTTAAAAGTAATTGTGATCAGCATTACCGTCAACATACATTTAATAGCATGGTGTCATTAGGTCTCTAAAATTGTATTATTTTAGAACAATTATCTTTTAAAAATGAAATTAGATTCCTTGTCTCTCACTTTATTGTAGATTTTTGTTATTAAAATAGAAATAGCTGTTTCTTGGTGGCATTTCTTTGAATTGCCATTTTAAAATTGCCATTTTAGTCTTATGTGGATATATTATACTAAATTGATAAAGTGCCCTTAATTTGATTTCATATGTTATGATACCGCAAGAACTAAAATCATGTTCCATTGTTACCAAATACTATAGTAAGACAAACTAGTGGGCCAGGTAGTTTTCTACAGACTTAATGTTAGTTGTAAAAAATAATGTATAAGAATGATATGTGCCTTCAATACCATAATCACAAACCATAATCACAATACATACTTCTAATCACCTTTGCTTTTATCTCAGAAATATTTTATAAGATATGTGAGATAATACTTTATATGAAACAAGAGTGTTCATATTTGAGGATACTAAATACATCAATATTAATAGCGGTATTGCACAGGTGTATAATTTTGATAGTACTGCCTATACTACACTGATGTTAGCCTGTTTTAAAAAACATGACTCAAAATATTGCCACAATGATAAGAAATTGTTTTTTATTTGTAAACAGATTTCAGTCTCAAAACTGTTGTTTTCAAAAGGTGTTACAGTACATTTTTATATAACAATTACCACCAGAGTAAGCAAAAAATCAAATCAATAGATTAATAGAAAGTCTAGTCAATGGCTAGAGTAATCAACATGAATAATGTACTCTGTGAAGATGAAAAATGTAGCAGTTTTCCTAGTTCATTCAGGAACCCCATTTCACAATATCTAATTGTAACTAGAATTATATCTCCAAATTTATAGTTACTTGGCCAAACAGATTTAGAAAAAGGAGCAGCTTATATTGGAAGTTGTGTTCTGACCCAAATTTGAAGCCCCAATTGTTGGTAATTATTGCAGCAACTTGCAAGGTGCAAATCTGAGCCAGGTATGTGTATTAATGAAATCTGCCAAGTTTAAAATTCAACTGGTGTGCCTGTTTCCAAGAATAATATGAGTTTTCCAATGTGCTTTTTAGGCCACTATCTTGTTAGATACAGGGCCATGGTTATAATCACAAATCAGTAGACTTGAGTTCATGACTATACTTGCCATGGTTGTTGAAGAAGGTGTTTGACCAGGGCCAGTTTGAAGTCTGAGAAGAAAAAAAATAGCATTACTGCAGTATAGGCTTGGAAACTTAGATTTATGTTTCCTTACCACTTCTAAATGGTACCTGCAGTGTTTCATATTATTATTTTCTTTGAAGCAGATGGTGTTGAATAAAAATGTAATCTATGGATTTAATTTATGAAACACCCGCACGTTATTAGTACAGTGGCTATCAACACATTTGACATAAGGGAGAACTCACATCTTGCTTGCTTTTCTTATTAAAGATTAATAATAGTAGAGAAATTCACTTAGAGGAGATGGTAACAATTTTAAAAAAATTACATAGGCTACTGCACATGTGTACATTATATTTCATGGTGTATGTGACACTAATATTTTATATGTACCTTTATAGACTTGACACACAGCTGTTGGAATACGAGACAAGATATACCATATATATACATTTAAAAAATGGAGCAATTACTTTTTCTCCTTTCATATTGGGTTAAAAGCATACTAAAAGAACCCAAAACGGTGATATAATTACAGATCTTTCTTCAGTTTTATATCTTTTGTTAGATGTGATAAATCAGCACAATCGACTCTTGTATCAATTCACTGAAAACTGGTCAACAGTTCACTAACATAATGAAAAGGGTCCATAACTGCACGGTGGCTCTTTAAGACGAGTGAAAGGAGGGGGCGCGGTTTCACACCCCGGGTGGGAAACTGGGGCGGGGTTTCGGAGTGGTGAGTGACAGCTTTTCAATTGCATTCAAAAGCTATGGCGCCTGTGGAACCCGGTACAGCCAATGCGAGTGCGAGCGTACACGTTCCTGAAAGTTGAACGGCCAATAGGAAATCCAAATGGGAGGTTTCACAACGCTGTGGTGCATCCAACGTGGGTACTGGGGCAATCGCTTTGGAGAAAAAAAAAAGAAAAGACGAGACCTATAGTGGATACGATCTGCAGTAGGAGGGGGAAAGCTGAATTTGGTAATAATTGGACTGCTGAGATTTTCTGGGGGATAAGGCGCATCTGCTGAAAAGCACTGTAAGAAAGTTACAGAGTGAGGATGAGCTACTGAGGTGATTTGCTTGGTGAAAGTTGCTGGAAGCGGCGGTGGTGTGGTAACAGCCAGTGTTGCACACTTCGTGTAAGAGACACGTACTATGGTGTTCTTCTGTTTTGCAGCAGCTGAGAAATCCTCCCCAGAGCAGTTTCGCTGCCCCCAAACTCTCACACTCGTGGAACTACGCAACTTCAAGTGGGTCAGAGAAGAGAAGTACTCCCCTAAGTCCAAAGGAAAATCTAATGAAAGTTCCTCAGTGACAGGCTGCGGAGTATAACTGATTCTTGTCTATACCGCTGCTGCTCCATAATTATGATTTAGGAGGTAAAATATTAGTAAATTAGCGAACATCTCTTGGATCCGTCAGTCCGAGCTCACGCGTTGAAGGAGAAGACTTCAGATTCGAAGATCCAGTTTACCAAGCGGCGAGCTTTGAGGACACTTCTTTTTAAGCCTTTTAAGGACAACTGCTTGCAACTTTGCATTTAGTTTTGGCTGCTGGACAAGTTTCTTATATCGTTTTGTTTAATGGTGATTCACCTTTGATACAGTAACACAGGGCACCGGTGGACAAAAAAAAAAACTCGACAAGGGGACTTCAAGGTTTTTTTTTAAGAAAGTAACTTTACCCTTATTGGGGTACATGCTGTGGCAGTCTTCCGTTTTCAAAATGTAAATGCAATTGTCGATCCTTCCAACAAGATTTTACGGGCAATAACATATAAACCAAGTACATTATTGATTCAGCGATATCAGATCGGCAATCTGCGGTGCTTTCTGGAGTAATCAGCCGCCGTGCTATTAAAAACTGGATACAAAATGGCGGCCACGTTGGGACAAATCGGATTGCTACCTTATTATTTTTTGCAATTAATTTTTCTTCTGAAACTCCCTGTCCACTTTGGGCTCAGTACTGATTTGCCCTGTGCTTTGAATTGTACATGCACCAATGACCTGGTAGACTGCAGCAATCTTGGTTTGACGGATATCCCGCAAGATCTGCCTGTCCATACAGTCTATCTGTGAGTACCAGTTACCGCTGTTATTGACTGACCATTAACTTTTTAAGGCCCTATCGCAGATCTGACAAGTTTAGGTGTACGAGATGAAAGCTGAGCACAGCGATAATTTAGAACATATTTTAGCCGAAGATAAAATCACCATGTGATATTCATTTAGATGGAAAAAAGAGATAGGGGATTGCAGCTGGTCAAATAGTGAACGTATTGAAGATTAATAGGTAAACACTGTAGTTGCAGCTTTCGACTTTATTAATAACGGTATTAAAAGTATATTAAATTATATTTTGTTCCTTTCAAATATTTTATTTAGAAAAAAACGATTCAGTGCGTGCGTTGTCCGTAGTTCTGTTAAACAGCTGTATAAAGTCAATGATACAGTACCTTTAAATATTGTTAGCAAATTTGTTTAAAAAAGCTAACTTTCTATGTCAAAGAGTACAATTTTAAAACCAGAATTATAAGCGGAGACTTATAATTTGTTTAGCTTGCAGAATTAAAACCGAGGTGTAGTAAACACGTGTAGCTGTTTGAAAAGAGTAATACCCGCGGACTGGTATCGCAACCTTATAAATTCGTGTTTAACTGGAAAACGAGGCCGCAGATAAGAGGACTCTTCTCAGCATCATTCAGAACAGCGAAGAGTCCAAATCCTCCGATAGACCTGCCCGTGCATTGTAATTTCTTAATTGTCAAATACACGGAGATAACGTCTTTTGAAGAAATTACACTGAAGTATGTATGTGTTGATGGCAGAGTTGAGAAAATTGTAACGTAAACTGTATTTTATAATACGCCTTTTTAAATGAATTTAGATAATTTCTACGGGTTTTATGGCTAAGATAGACATTGGACTGTTAGATTCGTGTTTGCTATGGTTTTCAATGTTCATGAGAGCAGTACATGGAAGTTAAGCAACTGACGCAAAAAATCTCTTCACTCTTAAGACTGAAACGTTTTATTATTTTGATCCCATTCATCTGTTTTCTTGTGGGAAAACTGTAAAGTCAAGATGTGTTAAAGGCACGTTTATCATCTTTATCCAAACAGCTTTTGTGCTGCTATTAAAGTTCAAGCTGTACTCTAGACTAACTTTTTAAAACGAGACGGGTGGTGGAGAAAGTCACGTTTGCAATGAGGAGTGGTTCTGTACACGGTTTCATAAATTGTACATAGTAACCAATCTTATGAAAATAAATATTATTGTAGTTTAAAAAAAGTTTATAATTCCGAGATTGTCTAATAACATACATATACGTTGTATCATACGTTCTACCTGAGCTACTGTAATCCAAGTTTTAACCGATTTAAAAACCTTTACTGTGGTAATTATTTACAGCTGTATTGGCTATGCATAACGGCTATTAGAATATCTAGGACGGAGGTGCAGATTTGTCTTTCAATTAGTGCTATTAGGTCTACAGAAGAAAGCATTTAGACATTTAGACGGTTTTTCTAAACCTTTCCCTGCTCTGGCAGGCGCAGCAGGGGAACGCGAAGGAGTGTCCAGAAGTTTTAAGTCCTTAACTTTGATGAGTAGGTAATCTTAGCTGGCACAGTTAAAAAAGTTTTGGGGTTTCTTAGGAGCTGAGGTCGAAAAAAGCCCACATGTCATACAGCTGTGGCTCAAAATGCCATCACAAGCCAGTTATAATACCTGGACACAACAACAGATCTAATCATAGCAACATACATTTGGTGCTTGTTGGTTAAACAACCAATGTCAGATAACAGGAATGTCCCCAAAGCTGTTTTATATTTGCATGACAGGTGTGCTGGTATCTATGTAGACAAATCGAAATTATTTAAATATTTTAACAAAACAGTTTCACTGTGCGTATTGACCTGGAGGAAATTTAGTCTGGCAACAAAGATTTTTGTGAAACAAAAAAAAACCCAACAACTTAGCCTGCTATGACTTTACAGAAAGAAGTTCTCTTTGGTGCTACCCTATATGTCCTCTGCAGACATTGTCCGTTTAGGTGTTGTTATATGTATTATGTTTGAAGAAGAAAGTTTCCCACTATAAGGTAAAGGTGACTGTGAATGTGACTTTCAAAGTGCTGGAGTAAAACTGTGTTTAGAAAACAAATTTGAATGTGAGCAGTAAAGTATTGATGTATTCAAAGTGCTGGAGAAAGTTTTCTCCATTAGTTTCTTAGACTTTAACTAAGTGGGTTTTGTGGATATAGGGTAAAAGAATTAGACAGTTCTACAGAGAAACATGACCTCAAATGGGCAGTTTAAAAAAGGCTTCTGCTAATGACTGCATTTTGGGGAAAGGAACTTTTGTGAAGCTGGGTAGAATAGCTTTTCATCCTAGATATGTCTTCTCAAAGATTCAGTGCAGGAATCAATGATATGGTTCAATTCTGCATTCAGGTAATAATCACATTTGCTTTGGAGAATCAGCTATGAGTTCTTTTTTATTTGGTTCAAAACAGATTATTATTGAACCTTGCTACGCTGTTGTTTGCCTTTTCCCAACTGGTATGTTTGTCTGAACTAAGGTAATAGAACTGAAGTTAGGTTTTAAGTTTGTATTGGTTATAACTCTCCATAAGGATGTGGCACAAACAAGATTCTGTGGAGTTTATTTTGTATTGTGTTGTCGGCCATCAGTTGTCTTTTGAATGCACGTTCATGAGTGAGTTTAAAACATATGCTTTGGTTGCAGTTCACATCAAACTTACAACTACTTGAGTTCCAGCACTGATGACTGTGAAAGTTTGAACACTGAAGTTAGTATTAATATTGTTTTTAGTTTTTTTGTTTAAGGTATAGGTGTATGTGTTTTTTTTTTAAAGCAATGAATTATTCCTCTAACAGTTTGAACAGATTCCACTCAGGAAGGCTCTGTGTGTCATATAGGAAATGTTCCTGTCTGCCATTATTTATAGTCATTAATCAAAGGTTTTGATATAACCTGACTTTTCTGAATACTGTCATTTTGTGTCAATCATTTGAGGCAGTTTTTACTGCAACTGACTTTTAAGTAGTTTGAGGTCTATTTTTTTTCTATAACCACCATTTTAATTTGATTAGACCCAAGTGTTTTTTCTACATGTATGGTGTATGACGTATGTGGTACTGTGTCTGGATTTGGAAAACAAAGGTCTGAAGTTTGCTCAGTGTGAGGGGGAGAGAGAAGACAGCCCTAAGTCACTGAGACCAAGTCATTAGCATTTTTACGTTCTAGTTTCGGGACTTCAAAAGACCACATAGAAAAGTTTACAGCACACATTGCGTCAAGGAGAAGTCAAGAGTCTGAATGGCTCGAGTTGCCCCGTCTTCTTCATTGTAATGCTTGAGTTACTTTTTAATTTACACCCCAGCATTTTTGGGGGGTTCCCTGGTCCCCTGGGAAAAGCTACAGACATGGTTTTGAAAAAAGTTGGTACTTTTGTCTTGCTTTGCTATCTTTATTCGTGCACAGTATATGCACTCTTTGGATAATTCTAAAAAAAATGAATTGGCCTGTTCTTTTGAATGGAAATTAACAGTCTGGATCCAATAGAATGCTAACTGAGCACAATTCAAATTGATTAAACTAATACAGACACCTCGGTGACCTGATATTTTAAATGAATGTCTATGTACTTTCCCCTAATTGCATTTAATGAATTTTTAATTAGTTCATTTAAATGCTGTTTAAACACACAAACAGTACTAATAAACATTCTTTTTGCCCAGCCCTGCAGTGCAGGAACTCTGTTTCCCTCCTCACCTCTGGGAGTCCTAAAGTTTGCTGCCAAGTGATTTATTAGGGGAATAAACTGTCCCTGTTATGTTTAGCAGCAGAAGCCTCTGTGGTGATGCTGATGTGACATTTAGGGTTGGTGTCAATGAAAACAAATGTGGCTTTCACAGTGAGCTGCTTTGCACGGACCCCAGTTTGCATTGTGTACACAGAATTCCCCTTCTGGAGCACTTTTGAAAAACGTAAGAGCTTTTTAGGCTTCACTTTATACCCTGTAAAGGTTTGTAAGATGACTTAGAGCAATTTGGAGCAGATGTGTGATTTATTTTAAGTTGAATGCCTGTGGATTGTTGGCAACGGCCGAGACCAGACTTGATCACCATGGACTTTTTTGCTTTTTAGAGGCCTATCATAAAATTGTATGAATCTTAAACTGGAAGAAAATGTAGTGATTTGATCGACCCTGTACTACTCTTTTGATTTGTTGGTTGTCAGCCAAATGGTATGGCTATTATTTGTTTAAAGCAGATTTTTGTTTTATACTGTGGCATTATTATGTTACACACTACTTATTTTACACTGCTGCACAAGAATTATAGCGTTATTCAGGCTAATGAAGAGTGGGGGAATGTCACAGAGCTGGTGGCAGTTCATGCTACAACTGTAAAGCTTGAAACAAGACTTTCTTTGAATGGAGATTGTGCAATGAATCATGTTAATTATCACACTTTGATCTGTAATAAAGTTACATACCATTTATACTATTTGTCATGTTTATTAACTAATGAGAGAAGGGATTTATTTTAAAAATAGATTTTACACACTTTATATAAATATAGGAGAGAGGCATTTTTCTATGAAAGCAGTTTATGGATTGTAAAAAACTCTAGCCACGATGTTTTCTCCAAACTGAAATGCAATCTAATTAAAAGTGAAAGGATAAAAAAGGAAAAATGCTTTCCTTAATCATGGGAAGTAAACAGTTGCTCTAGCATCTATTAGTTCATCTAATTTCCAGTTTAAAGTTTTTTTTTTATTGATGTCAGATGTAACTACCATTTGAGTGTGGCCCTTAGTTTTGTTGAAAGGGTGTCGAGGACAAGCCTTCCTATCTGCAGATAACTCGTAACTTGTGTGTCAACGGCTTTAACAGTAGCAAAGTGTGTGTGTGGGGGGGTTGTTAAGGTGCTCTTCAGCAGTATTTTACTTCAGGGAGGAAAAGAGTTTCCTAGGTAACCATCCAGACACGGCCTGTGTGAAAAATCAACCCTTAATGCCTTCCAGTTGTCCAAATATCATCCCC